GYMGTMTMMMMTTTTTTTTTTTTTTGCCTGCAGCTTCAATTTTTCAAAAATTCTGTTCATAGCCTATACACCATAGCCCTTCTATATCTAACATGAAGCAGTGTCACTTAATGACATAAATTAACACGGTTCACTTTACAATTATAATAGTTTTTTTCTTGAAATTCTGTCAAAATGTCTTGATACAGTCATTTCGATTATTATGTCTTTAAAATTTGTAGTAACCTTGGTTACCCAACATACTGATCAAGTCTAAATAATTTAAATAAAGACATTGAGGTCTATTATGGCCCCAGTTTTATCTTGTTTCAATAGGGAATTCCTCAACCCAGACTGACATTTCTTTACAGGGGATTCCAACAGTGATGGAAAAAGTCCTCGACTGGTGTGTCAGTCCTGTGACAATGCTAATAGCAGCCATAGTGAATGTACATGGAGAAATAAAACTTGTGACAAAACAAGTAAATACTGTTACACAATGTGGAAAAATAACTCTTCAAGGAGAGGATGGACACAGAAGGCAGGCTGCTGGCAACAAAATATCAGTTGGGAAGAGCCATTTTGTTTGGGACAAAAATCTGCCTATGCGAAAAATCTTTTCTTTTGCTGTTGTAATAAAAATCTCTGTAATGGGAATTTCAGTATGCGCCCAACCCCTGTGACAACGACGTCAACAGTCACATCTGAACCAAGTAAGTTGAGACTTGAAGATTTTTCTATCCAGTTATTTAAGGTTTAACTGATAAATCTTTTATTCACCATATTTACATGAAGTAATTTAACTTACTTCTTCCAAAAGTTAATCTTAAAACATGTAAGAGGCAACATGTTAAAGGTATTTTACCACACTAGGCAGTAATTTTGCAATCTGATGGGCCAACTTGCTATTGTCCATAAGAGTACAGAAAATGCTGCTCTTGTCAATGCAATCATCGCACACCAAAAGAATTGTTTTATTTGACATTGATATTGTGGTAAAAAAATCAAATTGAAATTGGTTTAGTATTCTTATTAACAAAAGTATTCATCATCACAATGGACAAAATTTGTTGCAAAGCCAGGTGAGTCCACAACATGTATCTGGGCAGAAAATTTGAATGGCAAGATTAACCTTTATGAGTATGCAAAGGCCCTATTAATATTTTATTTATTTTATTTATTTATTTAATCTTTATTTAAACGCAATCAATTCATCAGCCTATAAAAATACCTATCACATACGCTAAGATATTTAAAATTAAAAGTACATACTATAACACTAAAGCTGTTTTCTGTGAATGCCATGCGTTAGACTTAAGAATGTCATTGATCTTACGTTTAAATAACCCCAGAGAGTCTGTGTTCCTTATATCGCGTGGTAGACTGTTCCATAATGTGGTGCCGTTGTAGCTAAAGCTTTTTCTGTAATAATTAGTGCGCGGTAGTTGAACATTGAGCTTATTTTCAGAGTCCCTGAGGTCATAAGCAGAGTCACGCCACATAAACTTTGAATATAGATACCTTGGAGCTAGCCCGTGCAGACATCTAAACATCATGGTGGCTTTATGGATTTCCTGCTGGCGTGCAAGATTTTTCCACCCTAAAAACTCGAGTAGCTCAGTTGCATCAGCATCATAGTTAGAGAATGTCAACACACGGGCTGCTCTATTCTGCAATTTCTGCAGTTTGTCTCGTAGCGTTTTCCCACAGCTACCCCAAACAATGTCACAGTAATCAAAGTGAGGTTTTACTAAAGCTTGGTAGATGAGATGTAAGGTTGATGCTGGGATCAGGTGCCTAATTCGCTTTAGGGCCCCGATACCAGAGGCGATCTTTTTCGTTAGTTTTTCGATGTGACTATGCCAATCGAGTTTATCGTCTATTATTACACCAAGCGATTTTGTAGCTGAAACCTGGCTCACTTGAGTATTGTTCATTCTAATTGTTGGTGA